ATGGTATACAATTTTGCCGCTATATATTGACCGCAGGGAGTTGATACCGAAGAGATCTTTAAGAAGGAAGGTGTATCCAAAATTGCATATGTATGTACGTATATGCTGTGTTGTAAATTGTAAAAGTTGAAAAGAACGAGGAAACGTTCTGTAGCACAATTTATATTGTAGTTATGCTAAAATATTTGTGAATTAAGTCCCTGTTATCCATTATTATAATATAATTTTTATCAGCAATATTAGAGGAGTAACGAAAATTAATTTTATTAAGTATTCAAAGCAATTGATAGTTTTTAGCATTAAATATTTCCATTTTCTCATAATATGCTTAAAAAATATTGCAGGGGACTTGTGAGTTATGCGAAGCAATTGATACTGTTAAGGTTCATTGGTCATATGAAGTTTGCACACGTCAAGCTTGACATCCTAAAGACATCCTACACAATGCATTCTGAAAACGATACCGTGCAGGTTCGTTGGCGTATACGTGGTGTCATCACAGGCTGGAAGGTATTTTCTGTGTTTTGGAAGTAAAATTTGTAAAATACAACATGTCATAAAATAAGCGCTATCCAGGAAATGTAAGTGTAATCAGTGTTCTAAACATTCCTTTTAAAAGTAATATAAAATTGTTCTTATAAACATTAATTATATAATTAATTCAAGTTGTCTATTATTTGAAAAGAACTTGATTTTTAGTTTTGTTTTGTATTCTACCTTCAGAAAAAGATAAAATAATTTAGATTTTCTAAAATTAATTTTGTTTATGCTATCGGAAAGGAAACACTTATTATAAAATTGATTATAATACCGAGACAATTATATATAACGATTTCAGATGGTACGACGGCTTTTTTATTTTTTACGTTAATGCTGAATGGAAAAGTCTATAAGCATATTGCGGACAAGATGATGCCTAATCAGGATACAGCCACGAAAAAGAAAGATATGCGCATGGCAGGGAAATTAGCGCTATTCACAGACCTTGTAAACATATTTAGTATCAACGAGGATTCTTTGAATTGAGCTCTGTCTTAAAATCGCATCAATTGAAGTGAATCCATTGCTGAGTGCTGAAATTATACGATTTTATCCGTCACAACGAACAGACCAAGAGGAATGCTTTTTCCAGTCGATGGTTTCGAATGTTGCTGACGTATCTATTTTGTTGCAAATGCATCATTATGAAATGATGATCGGTAGTAAATGAGAGATATGTGAATTAAAAAGATGTGTACATTAACTAAACAGTATCTTTGTATGATTACAAACTATCTTCATCTAATTTTTTAGTGAAAATGTCCGAATAATTTGCGTTAGTATATCTGTGTAAAAAAATATGACGATTATATTACAGTATATCTGACGATTTTAACATAATTATGGAGGTAGGGTGTCTAAATTGTTATCGTTCCATCCAAATGTAGCTTTTATACTATTTGGATAGTATCGATATTTTATGCTGCTTAGAAACAAGTAAAAAGTATTTTAAGACACTTGTATCGTTTCCAGAATATAAAAACTTGTGTTTAGATTACAGATATACGTTTTGGGTATTTCGTTGCAAATGTATCATTGTGAAATGATGATCGGTAGTAAATGAGAGATATGTGAATTAAAAATATGTACATTACCTAACCCTTCATCTGATTTTTTAATTTTAGTAGTGACAATGTCCTAATAATTTTGCGTTAGTATTCCTGTGTAAATAAATATGACGATTATACGATTATATTACAATAAATCTGAAAAATGTTAGAAAATGAAACAATTGTTTAAAGGTATCCTGTATATTATAGTATCTATTTGCTTTGCCTGTATGGAATGTTGATAACACGTAAGATAATATAATCATTAAAGTAATATTTCTTAAATGTATATTTCATACTTAATTTTATTTCATAAATACTATCACATTTATTCCTATGAATCGTTTTCATTACGCTATTATGATTTTAACATAATTATAGAGGTATAATTGGATGTGTAAATTATTACCGTTCCATCCAAATGTAGCTTTTATAGTATTATTTATTGTATCGATACCTTAAGTTGTTTATAAAAAAGTAAAATGTATTTTAAGACGAAAGAAAGTAATAGAGATAGAAAACGAAGAAAGAAGGACAAGAAAAGGAACAATAGAGAAAAATATTATATATTACAAAAATATTTATTATATATTGCAAATATATTTAAATTTATATATTAGTTAACTTCTTTATATACACTACCGCTCAATAATTTCAATATGCAAAAGATTCGTTGATTTCTCTGTAAAGGATGAACATCATGATACGTGTTTTGCACAGAAATGAATGCACTAGCTGTTATAAACATTTCACTTGCATGCATCGCATTTTTATATAAATAATATATAAAAATGCAATGCATGCAAGCGTATAACAGCAAATCTATTCATTTCTGTACAAAATATATGTATCATGTTCATCTTTTACAGAGAAATTAACAAATATAGGGGTATATTGAAATTAATGAGCGGTAGTGTATATAAAGAAGTTAACTAATATATAAATTTAAATATATTAATTAAGAGATGGAGAGATGAGAGAAAGGAAGGGCAGGGAGAAATGAAAGAGGAAGAAAAGTGGGAGATAAGGGGGAAGAAGAGATAAAGCAATGGAAGCGAAGATAAGAGAGCTAGAAAGGTGGAGAGAGTTAGAAGAGAGAGACAGAAGGAGGAACAATGTAGTAGTGAAAAGGGTGGAGTTGGTGAAGGGAAGGCTAAAGGAAGCGGTAAAGAAGCTATGGCTAGAGATAAGGCTAGAGAGAGGAATAGAAGAGGTAAAAGAGGTAGGAAGAAAAACGGGGAAAGAAAAGAAGATTGTTTTAGTTAGGTTAAAAGATAGAGTAAGAAAAAGAGAGGTAACGCAGAGAAAGAATGTGTGGAAAGGGAGGATGGAAAGAATAGAGGATGACATGACCTTGAAGGAAAGAAAAATGTAATGGAGCCTGGAGAGGATAACTGAGAAGGAGAGAAAGAATAGAAGGAGAGCTTGGGTAAAGTACGGAAAAATTTGGATAGAGGGGAAGTGGTGGAGTTGGGATGAGGAAAAAGAAGTCCTGACAGATGGATGGGAAAATGAGAAAGAGGAACAAGAAAAAGGAGGGGGGGAAGAAAGGAACAGAGGAAGAGGGAAAGAGTAGAAAAGAGGGAGACAAAAAAATGAAAAGGGAGGATAGTGAGAAGAGAGGAAAAACGATGGGAGGGTAGAGTGGAGAGAAAAGAAAGGAGAGGGAGAGTAGGAAAAAAGGGAGTGTGGTGAGGCTGAGGGGAGGGGGGAAAGGAGTCAGAGAGAGTAAAGTGGGGAAAGTAAAAAGGAGTGAAAGAGAGGAAAAAGAGGTGAGAAAAAGAGAAGGGGAAGAAAAGAATTAGAGAGGGAGGAAAAAAAGGAAGGAACAGAAAGGAAGCCTAAAGATAAATTTTTGGAATGTAGCGGGAGTGAAGGAAAAACAGGAAGAGTTTTGGGAAAGGATAAAAGAGTGGAATGTTGGGGTTGATGGAGACGTGGCTGGAACGAGAGGAATGGGAGAAGATGAAGAATAAGGTGCCAAAAAAGTTCTGGAGTATACAGGGTGCAAAGAAAGAAAGAGTTAGAAGAAAAGGAAAAGCAATAGGTGGAATAATGATGGAAGTCAGAAAAGGGTTAGAAAAGGAAGAAGAATGGGTGGAGGAGGAGGGTTTAATGATTAGAGAAGTAAGATGGAAGAAAGAGAAATGGAGATTGGCAACAGTTTACGTAAGCGCAACTTGGACAAGATGGTGGGTAAGATAAAATCGGTAAAAGAGGAGGAAGGGAGAGAAAAAAGATGGATAGTGAAGGCGATTTCATTGCGAGAACAGGGGAGAAAGGAGCGCTGGAGGATGGAGAAGAGGGAGCTGAAAGAAAATCGAAAGATAAAATGATAAATAGGTAGGAGGAAGGGCTGATTAGATGGGTGGAAGAGGAAGGGTGGGAAATTATGATTGGAGCAAAGGAGGGAGGTGAGGAGGGGGAGGCGACTTTTACAGGAGGAAGGGGGGAAATAGTGATCAATTACGCAATAGGAGATAGAAAAACTTGGGAAATAGTGACAAGATTACAGGTGGAGTGTGAGGTAGATTCGGATCACCAATCAGTAGCAGTACGGTTGAACAAAGGGGGTGGTGGTGAGAGAAGAGGGACAATAGCGGAGGAAGAGAGGTGGGTGGAAAAGACGGATTAGTCGGAAGAGGCAAGAAAGGAGTTTTGAAGAAGGACGGAGGAGGTAGAAATAGGTAGGGGGCAATAGATAAAGAGGTCGAAAAGTTGACAAAAAAAATTAAGAT